CCGGCCGCAGCTAAGGAGACCATACCTGTAAGTCGAGGACAGTTTTGCATGAAAGTGATGATGTTCATGGTGGTGTGGATTGAGTTGCAAGCAAATAAGCTGGGGTTTGGAGCATTTGAAGACACTGCGAGCGCATTCAATGGAGATTCGGCGCCTTGTCACCCTTGTATATATTAACGACGTCAAATCCAAAAGAGGTATTTGATGATCATTAAATCTTGACTGGATGAGCGATTTGGAAACTGTGGCAGAGATGATGAGTTAGAACATGGGAGAGCCCATGTCAGCCCAGGGGTATAGGCTAGTTATAAACAAATTTGTGGCGGTCTCTTTGTGCATTATGAACAAATAAATATATGAGTCATATCTGTTTCAGCTATTGCCGCTATTTCCACGTACTGGGTGCAAACATAAGCTCGTTTTAATATCATCCATCGCCTCCAGATCGTATGCTACTACTAGTAGGTAAAATCTCAAGAAAATTATTCAGGGCAACTTATTTGATCTTGCAGGACTAAAAATGCGGCGTCCATCGGCCGAAGCCGATCACTTTGCAGAAAGCAGGAAGACGGGCCTCACCAGTATGAATCATTCCAGGTAAAACCAGTAAGTTTGCTTCCATAAACACAATACACCCTCCACTTGTAATACCCTCTCATACATTAACAGTCACAGAGGCTCTCATGTAATACAACTGCTGTTGCAGACAACACAAGATGCAGGCTGAGCGTCCGTTCCAAATCATTGTTGTTGGTGCCGGTGTAGCGGAGATGGTAGCCTCTCCAACTGCCTCCAGCGGCTCGGCATTCATCATGTTCTGCTCGAGAAGCATGCTGCTGACGCGGTGCCAGTTAACAGTTTCCTGGGCCGTGGACCAGATAGCCGAGTGATACGTGATAATCTACTGTATACCCATGTTAAGAAGAAGTATGTCGATTCCTAAGGTGTGTATATCACGCATCTAATCTTACTTATAAGTCATGGAATTGGCTTCTTTCCCTTGGAAAGACGCAATCTCTTGCAGATCCTGTATGACGGCTTGGTTGACAGGTCATTTATCCATACCAAAGCGATCATTGAGAATGTCAAGCAATTTCCAGACCGGGCGGAGGTCTGCCTTGCAGACGGCAATGTTGAGACTGGTGACATGGTCTTTGGTTGTGACCGGGTCCATAGCTTGATGCGGAGCTTCACGTGGGATCATGCAACAAAACCTCACCTGGCTTGATCCAAGTCAAAGACAAGACGTGTAAGAACTCCACCCATATGGGACCTTGAGAACATGCCTTCGCTGGCTTCATTCTCGAGTAACCCCTAGCCCAGGATACCAATTGGCAGACCCTTTTAGTTTCGACACCTCTCATCCCCGAGTTTGGTGAGAGGGACGTTAGAATTACTTATAACAAGAGGTTTACCTTCCTTGCCACCTCCCAACCGGATGCTGTCTACGTCGTTGTGGTCTTTCTCCTTGACACACCGTTCATCTGGCCCAAACGGGAGCGCTTCACTAATCAGGATGTCAATGCACTGGCGGAACTGGTTGATGATAAGCCTGTCACTGATCAATTGCTCTTCTCCGAGATTTAGAGGCAACAGACCCAGGCCTCTGTCATCTCCCTCAAGGAGGCGTGATGTCGCACGGGCATCAAGGTCATATTTATCTTCTCGGCGATGCAGTTTACAAGTATATCTTTCACCGTTTTATAAACTATAATTATTCACTATATACGGGTTCATCCTAATCTTGCACTTGGCGGGAACTCGGCCACTGAGGGCGTTGTCTCGTTTATGAACAACCTGTGCCGTGTATGAAGACCACCTGTTGCAGTACCAAACCAAGCAGCACTGCTCTCAATATGGTCTTTGCAGCTTATCAGAAGGAGCAGCGCGAACGCATCAAGGAGTTGATGGATCATAGTCACATGGCGGCGAAGATGCATACCTACGCCACTCCCCTTCACAAGTTTCTGGCAAACTGGAACTTTCCACTCTGTGATGACAGGACGCTCACAACCACATTGGAGCATATTTTGCGGCAGCCTCGAAACTGGACTTTCTTCCCTGTGTAAGGTTTCCATCCTGCCTACTGGCATGGACAGAGCATGGCTGGAATGGTGGCCCCTGGGATCATTATATCAATGGTCATATCAATGGCAATGGATATGCGAATGGCCATGTCATCTACTAGCATGACCTAGGTACCTGAGATGTTAATCCTTTAATCTTTACCATTATGCAATAAGCCCTCACTCTTTTGGCATGATTCTCATCCTGCGTTCACCTATGCATGCAAATTATTTATGATCCTCTATTTCTATAAGAATAGCAGGGTAATATCGAGACATAACATAAACAATTGCGGCGTTTATAAGAGTAGATTGAGTTACAACTAGGTGTAGGAAGCAGTGTGCCAGACAGCTATTACTTCCAGGGAAGAATTAAGCCACCACATCGAATACATATCTCTACAGCATCAAATGAGACCAAAGATGGAGACAGACTACAGCAAAGATTTCGGCTCACCCTGTCCAAGTACCATCCAGAGGAGGTTGCCTATGCATAGACAACAGCAATGGACTACACATTCGTATGCTATTTGCAATAATCCCTGCTATTGTCATTTAGTAGCTAGATCAGCAGTCTGCCATCTTAGAGCTAGAATCACAGCCCCAACTCCAAGCTTTTTGATCAGTTAGAATGTCTAGTTCTAATCTAGTAGACACTTATTGATATCTAGTTCCTGCATGTTCACCCTCTAGGGTTTCATATCTATGAACAAACTTTCCATCATCTTCTAGAAGTTGCAATGGCGGCTTAACAACTTATTTTAGATCTACTGGTAATTACTAACTCTGGTCTATAATCTATTCAGTACATATCCATCGTTAACCTGCAGGGTACTTCCCGGTAATGCAGTCAGGTGAAAACCAGATCAATCAGCCCACCCTCAACGCGACCCTTTATGGACGGTTGATTGCACACGTCCTGCTTGGCAGCATCTGCCACAATGTCCCTTTCAATATTTATGATCCAGACTTGTTTGCGGAACTCCAAGACACATGGAATAAAACCAAGTTATCCTAGTGCGTATTGACTGCGAGCCCATCAGTAGCTTTGCTGATGTCCCCGCAGTATTAACAGTGCCCCTGGGGTCTTCAGCATATACTTCAAGAACTACACCTAAGGACCATTCACTCCCAAGGCTCAGCCTTGTGAACTGGGCAATCCCGTCAGCTAGTTGATTAATGTGAGGTCTGCCGAGGACATCAGGGGAGGGATCATGTTTTCGAGGGAGCATAACATCCAGCTAGTCATTAAAAATACTGGCCATGATTACGCGGGCATCTTGACAGGAAAAGGTGGACTGTTCCTGTGGACACATAACCTGGACTCAACCCAGTTCATCTCTACTTATGACTCCGCCTACTACAACAGGCCAATCATCAAGCTTAGGGCCGGCTTTCAGCGGTTTGAGGCGTATACGGACACCGCATTGTTGGCGGTGCCTGTCCCACTGTGGGTATCGCAGGCGGATTTGGCCTGGGTGGAGGCCACCCGATCCTCTCCAACAGCCACGGAACGGGGTCTGATAACATGCTGGAGTGGGAAGTGGTCACCATGGACGAAAGAAATCTGGTGGCGATCCAGAGCAGAATTATGACCTCCACTGGGCCCTCAGCGGTAGTGGTCTGGGCACCTCTACTGTTGTACTCTCCATGACAGCCCAGCTGCACGCAGATGGCATTATTGGCGGGGCTACATTGACCTTTGATGATAACAAGGTTGCAAACGACGAATTCTGCGATGTAATTGGGCGTTTTGTCCGTTTATCTAAACAAAACTGAATCTAACCATTGCTAGTTAGTAGGGGCAAAGCTAGGCCTAGGTAGACCTAGTATGAGATTTGTATCGTGGAAGTGAAACTCACACTAAGCTAGAATAGATCTGATTTAGTCATAATTTCTAAAACCTGACCTGAAATCATAGTAGTTTGGTGCTAACTAGGATTAAACTCGCCGACACGGTAAACTTAGACTGAATACATCTCTAAACGAGGGATTACTATTCTTACTGTAACCTTATCTCTATTTATAGAAGTCCTGCAGTCCTGCTACATACCTAAGAGTAAAGCGTTTCTAATTTAATCTTTCAATATAGCGATTTTAGGTTCTATAATACTCCGTATTGCATTCTCTCCTCTCCCCGGCGCCCCACACTTCCTCCTCCCCAAAAATGACTACACCATACAATGCTACATGGTGTACAAGGAAGGAAACGGCCGGTCCAGTCCCTCGTCATCCGGAATTCCGGATTGAGCTGTTCTTCAGCCATGGCAATCTGTTTAGCAGTCAGGGACTCTGGAGCAGTGCCATAAGATAGTCAGTACTTACCTATGTGGAAAAGCCTGCTTCATGCCTGGGTCGGGTAGGAGATGGACCAGAGATGTAGAGGTGACTGGTAGGAAATGCAGTCCTCCATACATACTGGGCGTATTAATTAATCTATTGCTATAAGGACAATAAATTCTCTGTTGTCCAGGTTTGGGGCAGTCTCCGCAGGCCGAGGGGCGCCCATTGAGAGCGTTCTGCATTGTCTTCTCTGCTCTGAAGGGATATTTACGATCCAACAACCTGATTCCTGCGTTGAAATGATCATCTAGTTAGTGTCCCATCCAACCAGTTTCATCAAAGTTAAAGACCCCCTGCCTATTCTTTTTATACGATGCACACTGGGTTGCTCAATGTACGATTGACCCCCACTAGACTGTCTGGCTGACCCTCCTGCTCACCCGTAGTCTGGAGGAAGATTGATTGTCATATTCCTATGTCATACGCCATTAATTTCCAATCGATCCGATCATATACGAGATTGATTACGTTTATAGAGCAGAAAGGGGCGGCACGAAGAACAGAGAAGAGTTGAATTACTGGTGGTACACCCAGATTGTCTGGGGTTCAGGGGAAAAGCATCACTCCATGCACCGCAGTTCCCTGATGACTTCACAAGAGAATGGATGCCTCTTGCTTCACTGAATTGTAGTCAAATGCTGCCTGTGGATGTCTCTGGGCGTATAGTCCAGTATCATGAAGCTGGCCTTGACAACCTGAGGATGGCAATTTTCCATTACCCAGTGGGCAAACATATCCATCCCCGCGCATGCCCCAGAGGCAGTCCAGAAGCATCCGTCTGTGACCCACTGCTGGGATTCATTCCAATGGACTTTTGGGTACAGTAGCCGGGCCTGTGGCAGAAGCACGTGGTTGACGGTGGCATCACGGCCATCAAGTAGCCCCGTTTGGGCCAGCAGCAAAGCGCCTGTGCAAGTTGTAAATATTGCCTTGACCTCCTGAGATCGACGTCGAATGAATGATTCATAACACTCCGAAAGGCGGTAGCCCGGCGATGGTCCACCGATTAAAAGATAGTCGAGAGGTGGACACGTGTCGCAGGTGGTTGTCGGCAGTGACTGAAGGTTTCCGGTATGTTGAACGGGCTTCAGCTCACTACCAACGTAGTAAAATTCAATGTCGAGGCCGGCTGCTGCAGTGTCTTTGGAGACCTGACCGTCCCTTTCCATGACTTCGAGGTACGGTCGCGAGCATGAGGAGAGGATGTCCACTGGCCCGGCGACGTCGAGGGTTTGGTAAGGAACCATTAAGATTCCGAAACGAATGGGTGGCATTATGGAATGGAATTGATCTTCTTCTACTCGATGAGAATGGCAAGGATGAAAAGATGTGATCATCGATCAGCATGCAATCAACTTGGTGGCAGTCGGCCGCATATATAACACTAAAACTGCTCTGTCCATTAACCATGCGCTGAGTACTTACAGCTCAACTTGATCTCGGACAAATTCGGCACAGGCCTTTGGGTTATCGCCTAGACCATCAAGTCGCGTCCAATCTACAGCATTGTTGTTTCTATTTGACCACTTTGGGAGACGAGTCTCCGAAAGTTCCCTGAAACCCCGAACCTTTCCACAACTCCTTGGCGGGATTTACTGCCCAGGCAGTTAGGCTAGGATTCCAGGATATATACACGTGATCTGACAGAGTTTCAGAGCCTTTTGTTGTCTGTAACTGACGCCTACATACTCCCTGAAATGTGAAAGGCCTTTTCCCCTTTAACTGATACCCTTGTGGTTTGCTAAGAACCAGCAAATCATGGGGGGAGGGGCCTATGCTCATCGACAGTTGTAAGGCCAAAAATTTAGATTGTGAGAAGCGGCTAGGAAGGGAAGGACGAAGAGGGCTTCCATTGAAAAGTGGAGTATTCGGCATGTTGTCTGTTATTCAAAGTAATTTTATGGTGCAACTCGTACTCGTATGTTCTTCCTCGTTAGCCAATATTGCTCTTAGACCCACTCTGGCTGCGGATAAAACAGCTCAGAACTACCAGTACATTCACATCGAAACGGCGATAGAATTGAGAATCATTGGCAATCGCCACGAAGAGTATGTCAATCACATGTTGTGTCCTAGAGCATACTGTATAACCTCGGAAACAGTCTCTCAGTAGCAAAGAGGGCGTTAAATGGAACTATTCTTGTTCCGTACAGGGAACTGGAGTATGTCATCGCGGGTACTGTGTTCAAAAACGGTCATATTCTACTAATACTTGTTAGTTAATGCTTCCTAAAGCCCCATGTGAAGGCTGAGTCAATGTACCAAATGGTAATATTAATACGGAGTAGTCAAGGGGGTTAGCACTAACTCCTACTCTCAAATACGCCTCAATTCTGTATTCAGTCAGCGGCAGCTTCGCACTCCGTCACCAACTACCTCAGCCGCTCTAATAGCAGTTCAGCAAGTATACAGCGGCGCAGAGGTGTCTCCCATTAAAATCCCCGCCATCGGTAGGCAGCAGCAAAGCCATGAGGTAGTTAACTGCTGAGGGAGAGAGGAGGCCCTATGGATCTGTTGTATCTCCGTTGAGCAGACACATGTTTTAAACTTGGGGCCAAATTGTAGTGGTTTGTGGCACCTGCTCAACTAGATAATCTCATTACCTTTCTGCCCTGGGGGTGCATTTTATGCGCTGTTGCTAGGCAGCTACATTAATACATCCGTAGCTTGGTTTCGCGTACTAGCTCTCGTACTCGGATGTGGATTGTTAAATGACACAAGCTAGGACATCGCGAAAGTTCGAGATATCAGCACCAAAACAAGCAGTGGTGCTAGAACGCCATGTCAGAGGTTCCTGCTATAATGAAAGATAATTCCGTCTAACATTGAAAACTGAAATAGTACAAGGGGAGTTCCACCACATTTTGTGTTTGCAGATGTGAACCAAATCTAAGCTCACCGAAGTATGTTAACCCTGGTCTCTACACTGTGCGTTTAAGTAAACTTTGTCTCAGAACTGTGGGCCCCTGGTGTGGATAGGTATCTTAGTGATGAGTATAGCTTGTGGCGATGCTAATGTCTCAGGAGACTGTGAAATGATATTTATTTTGCTGGCGCCTATCTGTTGTACTTGTCTTATTTATATCAGGTGCCCAGGATGCCTCAAGAGATGAGTCAATCTTACAGCAGTTCGGACGTGAGTTAATCATGTCTCTTCTTGTATTCATTGTGTCTTTTTCCTACCTCTATATAACGGGCACGTTAGTGTTTGATACCATCCATTGGCTCCTCCACAAATGGTCCAGATCACAGTGGAGATTCCTTCGTTGGCTTTCATACTGTCACCAATTTCATCACCTTTACTACAACCGCTCGCTACAGTTCAACGATCGATACTCACGACAGAATTCCTGGATTGCATTACCTCTCGAATTGCTCTGCAAGGTTTTTGGAAGCATAGCAGGATGGCTACTTGCCCGGCACTTGATGGCATATAACAAACAAACCATTGATACCGCGCCTTTACTCGTGGCATCCGGATTCGAGATCATACGAACTCTTGTTGTCATTGCCATGAGTGGTCGAGACTCGAATCATATCGCCTTCGACAGCGTGCCTAAAGACCATAGCTGGCTTTTTGTTGGACCCCAGTACCACGCCTTACACCACGTCTATCCCGAGCGATACATGGGCTCGATGGTCAAAGTATTTGATTGGGTAGCGGGAACTGCATACTCTCTGCGGGGCAAAAGGGTCGTCCTCACAGGTGGATCAGGTGCGTTTGGGTGCGCAATAGAGAAACAGCTCCTGTCTGAAGGGGTGAAGGATATTAAGAAGTTACACTTCGGAAAAGACTGGACTCACCATGACGTCTCCGGAGTCGGCCACTTTCTGGAAAAATCTGATATCCTTATCTTAGCACATGGCACCAAAGGGAGGGATGCCATGGATGCTAATTGCAAGTCGACCATGCGCCTCATCGAACTCTTCCTCAGACGCAAAGCTGTTGAAAATACTCGGCAGACTAAAACAGTCCCAGAGATATGGTATGTAGGCAGCGAGATTGAAGTTCACCCTGCATGGGGGAATCCAGAACTGCAACGATACTCCGCCTCAAAGCGCGCCTTCCTACCTTATGCTCGAGCCCTATATGACGATCCTCGGGTAATTTACCGTCACATTGTACCTGCAGCCTTTGAATCGCCTATGGGTAAAGCAATTGTTTCGCCAGATTGGGCTGCCCGCGTGGCACTATGGTGGATTCGTCGTGGAGCTTATTATGTTCCTGTCACCTACACCGGACTCTCTTTTCTGAACTTCTTCAAGTTCCTTCTTTTGGTTCGCCCATGCACAAGGCCAGATTGGGAGCAGTAGCACAGAGTATCTCTACAATTGTGTTTACGCAGTATATAGAGATTGTTTAACTATGTTCATAGTCTTCTGGCGTATGTACATAGCGAAGAGGGTGGAGCTACGGAGTATAGAGGGGAAGTATCTGTAGTATTTCCTATGAAAACGTTCTCATTTTCTTTGATATATTCTCCATTTCAATTGTTCCTGAAATGATACATACGAGTCCTGTGGTATCTATAAAACAGAAATACCCGCCGCATTTTTTCCTTGCTCAAAACCACAACCTAAAAATAGAGGTTGGAAATTTGATCTATACGAGACCCTTACATGGACCGGGACGTCTTGGCGGGATTTACTCCCCAAGAAGGCTAGATTACCCCAATGCAAGGGTTAAGATCCGGACACTTTGACATGAGCCAGGATGTCTTGGCCAAATTTACTGCCTAAGATGGTTAAGCTAGGCTGCAATGTTTCGGAGCATTTAGTACCTAGAATTTGACACCAAATACTTCTAAAGTGTGAGAGGATATTTTACTTCGCGGCATTTGTGCTTTGCCAAATAACAAAAATTAGTGCAAAAAGAGCGCTATACTCATGAGCAGTTATGCGATGGAAATTTTCTAGGCTAGGCAAGACAAATCCAAGGTGAAACTAATAGGAGTACACAGTCTTTAATACACTGGGTGTCATCCAGCACACTTTATGCATAACCCCATCCATCCACCTCGGAAACTTTCCCGAAGCCCTCTCTCTCCCAAGGGAAATGGGCCCAAGACTCAAAATGGATCAGAATTATCATATCCCCGTTAATCTCCCAGATAAGTCAAACTGCTTGTTTCCCATCCATCATAATCTGCATCGTACGAAATGGAAAATCATATATCACATTGCCCAAGTTAAGAAGAGCTGCTGTTACATGCCTTCTATTTCCGTTCTCTTTTAACTCATTAATGTAGACAGGATCTCCTGAAAAAAGATTATATTCGGTTTGCCAGATTCATGGATACTAAAGGAGCCTGTCTCCAGAATAAAACCTGTGACTCACAACCCGGGAAATATTTGCAAGGGTTACTAGTAATCTGGAAAATTCCCCTCCGATGGTGGCAGTCGCAGTCTTCGGCCATGAAGCAACCTGCGACCCTTGGGGTCGAGATCCCCTACATGATTCTCGTCGCCGAGAATTACCGCATCAATAAGCTGTATGTTATGAAGCTGAAGCCTTGCCCCTTCGTAATTGATAAGGTGTGGTGGTGGCGGTATAACTCCAAGGCCAATTGTCTTTAAATCAGCGTTCTCCCAAGTTTGCGTGAGACCGTACTTGGTCCCGTCAAGGACTCCCAAAGACGGATGGCAGGGTCATATAATAGGTAGAACTAATTTACTCTACGAAGTTCACCGAAAAAAATAGAAAAAAGAAGGGTAAAAAAAAAGAGAAGAAATGGAACACAAAATATGAAAAAAAAGGGGCCTGGATCCATGCCTCCCCCTTCAGTACGTCAAAGGGCCAGTCCTAAGGTGGGCCGGCCCCTTAGCTTCATCTACGCAGCAGTTCTATTTACTTAAGCGATTTGTTAATGCCTTCGCTGCAGCTTTTCTGAAGTCTAGTTCCCTAGTCTCAAGATTGGGCGCTTCCGATGTCCTGATCCCACTAATCTCATCCACAACCACAGCTACTCCCGCTGCAAAACCCGCAATCCATTCAACAAGAAGACCCTGGTGGCGGTTACCATTATTCCAGCCTGCAGGTTAATAGAGAACAATGGCGCCCTCACTGTCGCCCGCCATCACCTCCCAGTCAGATACTGTTGCCAGTTGATAGCCAAGGTTTGTAGGCGGGGATTGTCATCAGGCCATTGCTTTTTATAAAGATTGTCAGCGTCATAGGCCTATGTTTTGCCGCCGGCTGCTGAGGCTGGGTGAAACAATGTAGAATCAAGTAAGATGCAGTCAAGCTTAAGAGCTGGCAATCCAGTTATGCGTG